TGAGAAGGATGTTGCAAATAATTAACTCTCATTACTGCAGCTGGTCTAAATGCATCAGGAATCTGAAATGTAGATTAAAAAACTAAAGTTTGGAAGCTTTCCACTTCAACTCTTTCATTCTTGACCAGGACTATTACTCCATCTTCAATCAACGCTACCTTAGCTGTACAATGGATAGAGAGAAATGTCTGTGCATCTGTCTTGACGGGTTCAAGAATTAAAACTTGAAAGAGAGGCAGGGCTAAGAAACCAAAAGGGAGCTAATTATGGTTTTGAAGTATGGTCTCTCAAGTTCTGAACATTAATAAAAGTGACCAGTATTTCCTGGCACTGATGTGACTTGCTCCTCTAATTTTTATTTAGGTGATGTGCATTTGGGTAGTCCAGGGTCACTATAGGAAATCCCATAAGTTTCTGATTAAAGCCATCTCCAGTCAGGACAGCACAAAGGCATGTCAGAAATCCAGGTGTTCATGACAGTGGGGCTTCACATCTTAACAACTTCCATGCACAAAGATGCTTCCTTCAATTAGGACCAATGCACACAAAGATGCAAGTCTGCAAATGCTGGCCCGAGTCTTCCCGGAGGGCTGTGTAAGGGCAGTGCAGTGGTTTTGTGAACCACTGACACGAGAGGTCTTTTTGGACAATATATACTGGACAAACACACACCAGAGGTGTGTTTGAGAAATCAAAAGCTTAATAAATAAAATGCCCCTGGCAAAGGCAAGCTATGAAGCTGCTCTTTCTTTTACATTGGCAAAACCCCCTAAGCAAACTCAGAAAACGAGGCCCAATGAGCCCAGAAGACCTTAAGTCACACTAAACTAATTCCAAGCCTACAGCTAAGAGGGAAATCATCCAGAAATACCAACTCCAGTGGGCAGCACACATTTACTGGCAAAACACAGTTTGTTTGGTAACTCACTCAGGTTACTGGTAAGAGCATCCAGACTGCACTTTCATGTTTACAGATGGGAAAAGCCCTGGAAATCTTCCCCTCTGTCCCCCACTCCTCTGTTTTTCATTGCAACTTCAAAGTTTCTCGAGGCCCGAAGGAAAACACTGGCCTGACTACCTCTGTGATGGCATTTCTCTAAGCTGGTAGAATGCAGCAAAGAATCACCCAGGTGTGAAGAGTTTGGAGGCCCATACTGTAAGGTCCAGAGAGCTCATGCCCCTAATAAAGAACATTCTGAAGACCTCCCTTTACTGCCAAGCATCACCACAAACTCTCTGCCTGTCACTGCTTCTATGCCTGGTGCAGGAACCAACACCACAAACAGCAGTCAAACCTGCTTCTCAGCCATGCAAATCCCCATGCTCTGTCAGAGACAGCCTGCAAAAACTAAACAACAAATGGTGGAGCATTTGCATCGCTATTTGCCGGGGCCCATCTGTGCTTTGTCTTTCCAGGGAGGGGGAAATGGATGGAGAGCCCTCATCTGACAAAAAAATCACTATGAGCTTTGCATCTGAACCTGCCTCCCTCCTCTGCTTCCTCAGATTCCAGTGGACAGAGGTCTATTGTCTCATTTATTCATTCTATTATCCCACGTCACATTTTCTCCATCGACTTCACCCACATCATTCCAGCATAATTCTCTACATTTTTCAAAATCAAGCATGTTGCCTGCCTACCCATTTTAGAACTAGCATGGGACATGAGCTGTGCACCCTTCTGCTGTAGAAACAGGACTGAACTTGTCAAAATTATGCTCTTGCTCTACAGTTCTATACAACTCCCTAAAGGGTCAAAATATCCACTGGCCAGGGGAAGAAATGCAGAAAACAGACAATGTTTTTAGTGATCCCACTCTCAAGACAAGCACATGCAAAAGTGGCTGCTACAAAGTGGGAAATGGTAACGAGTAATATTATTTTATTAGCCAAAAGAAATTTAAAATCCCTCTTACACCAAGAGGGGGTTCACTGCACTTCAGCATTCCAAAAGTTAGCATTGGGTCACAAGTTAGCAAGTCACACAGATTCCCTCTGTAGTTAACAGCTGAATGGAGAGAGACCCTGTATCTGTCTCAGGCTGGTGAAGTGAGGCCACTCTGGTTCAGAGTCACCACCTAATTTTCTGTTCCCAGTTACAGTATCACAGTATCACAGTATGTTAGAGATTGGAAGGGACCTCAAAAGATCATCTAGTCCAATCCCCCTGCCGGAGCAGGAACACCTAGACAAGGTTACACAGCTTGCTGTCCTTCCTGGTTAACTACATCTGGGATGGAAAGATTGCAGTAAGGTGACAAAGGCCATGTTCCCAGAATCCCTCTAAGTGGTGACTTTCAGTGAAGACAGCAAGAAAGCATTTCTGAATTTTAAGCCTCTGCTAAGCTCCAGAGATGAAATCCCGTCCCTGCTGAAGGTCAGTAGCAGATCTATCACTGACTTCACAGCATCAAGAAGCGATCCTACAAGCTGTTTCCCTAAATTTATTGTACCTTTGAAGTCCAGTGCCTGATTTACATAATTATTCTCACTCTTGTGGACTTTCATATCCTGGGCCAGGTTTGGAACAGCAATAGCACAGGACAATTACTCTTTGAATAAATGCAAATTGGATGAACCATAAACCTTCAAAAGAAAAAGTTACCCTAATAAAATGTGCAGACTTAGAAAAGGCATGGGCTGAAACTTTCAGCTCCTTCTGTTCATGATTTACACAGGTTGCCAGCTGCGTGCTGTGGGATTTAAGAACGACTGGGAATATCCCATGCCAGACAATGGCGTTACCAACTACCATCTTCATTTACTCTCTGTAATTAGAAGGAAGCTGGAGCAGAAGGTGAAGAAATCAGACCATAACTGGATCTGATGACAGGCAGGACATCATAGCTACTTCTGTACTGTTACTGAAGAGGGGCACAGGCTTGCCTACCATCCACAGTGGACACAGTTAATGCCTGGGCATGGGTTTGGGGTCAAATGCGGGGAATGGAAAAAAACCTTGGCAGTACTTTGCTGCCCAGCACTAGCTGAGCACTCACCTACATGCAGCCCAGGCTGCTCAGACACAACCATGTTCATTCACACTACATCAAGATACATCCCAGGGGGATGGATGAATTAGCCAGGGCCTCTTTCCTTAAAGACCTGGCACCCCATGCAGAAAGACACAATGGAGGATGTAGCCCTCTCGAAGCACTCAGACATAAGATGCAATGCCTGGTCAAACTTTTCAATGACTACAAGCCTCAATCTCCAGTGCCATCCAGATTTAAACACTCCTGTCAGTGTTCAAGGCCATATTGGACAGGGCCTTGAGCAACCTGGTTTAGTGTGAGGTGTCCCTGCCGATGGCAGGGGGCTTGGAACTAGATAATCTCAAGGTCCTTTACAACCCAAACCATTCTAAAACTCTATGATCTTCTACTGTGACGTACAAAGGCAAACTAAAGACAAATTACAGTAAACTGCACATGAAATAAAAAAGCACTGTATCAGGCACAAGAAACTTGTAAGACAGAATTCACTGGAAGCTGTGAGAATATTCTGGAGAAGTCCTGGCACCACTGCGGATACTGCTTGAGACAGGAAACACTGTGATGGGGGAAACAGGGCTAACCCAACACGGCCAGGTCTATGCTCAGAAAAGCAGTGCCTATTAATAAATAGGTTAAGTAAACAGCTTAGCTTTGGGGAAGCACCCAGCCATCTCTCTGAGCTGGGCAGCAGCAGCAGATCTGCCCCGACTCATCTGAAGCACAGTGAAGCCATTCTACGATTCTATGAACAGAGCCAGACTTCTCCAGAAGAGAAAAAAGGAAGCAAGGAGGGGGTGGCAATCACAGTGCCACGGTGTCAATAAATGTGCCAGCACCGACGCCACGACATACCCCTTGGTGGTGACTGGTGGGGCGCCAGTGGAGCCGGCAGGGTCAGGTCGGGTCTGTCTGCGGTGCAGACAATGGGGTCCCACAGAAGGAGCTGCCCCCTGCACAAGTCACCGCGCTCTCCACCACGCATCTGCTGGGTGAACCCTGACATCAGCCCTCACTGCATGCGTCGCCGGCAGTTCCTGTCTGAAGGAGGGCGGCTGGGGACACAGTGAGACCCCGCATATTTGAGAGAGGGCCGCTGGGCTGGCGGCAGGAAGACAGTGCATTAATTGTTGCACAAGAAAGCCTGATCTCATGAGATAAGACTTTAATCACAGCTTCCTCGCCTGGGGGGTGCAGATGGCATGGGCTTCACCCCCCCACCCCACCCCGCCCCGCTGCCCCAGCATGCCTCGGGCGCTTCGGCGATCTGCTCCCAGTTTGGGGTGAGCGAATGTCTGACTGGAGAAGTTCTTGGGAATGTATTTTTTTCCCCTCCACCTGCTCCTCTGGCTTTCTAAAAACGGAAAGAAAAGCCCATGGGAAATAAGAGAGGAAGTCTGGGGTTTAAATTACGCGCTGACTGACACGTTCAATGCCTTTACAAAAAAAAGGATATCTGCCTTGCTTAGAAATTACTTTTAATCTACTGTCAGAGCATTCTTATCAAATCATAAACTCCAAACTAGAAAGAGAAGATTAGGTGACCTAACCTTCTCAGCACGGCTGTGCTTCTTGGTCCTGATGTAAATCTCCAGGCTTCCACTCACCAGGAGAAACACTCCTGGAAGCCATCCGTTCCCACAGGGCTGAGCCAGCCTCAAGCAGCACTGGGGAACACACAGGCCGGGAACAGAAGAAAGCATCATCTTAGTTGTGCCTCTCTGCCTGATCAACTCCTACATTCATCAAGGCTGATGTAGGAGTTTAGGGCAGGTGAGACTTACAGTCTTAGTGACTAAATGAGGCATGAAGTTTGCAGGGGAAGATGCCACGAGGACCCTTGGAGGCAAACAATGGCCTTTTTTCACCTGTTCTCTTAGTTTTGATGGTGTTTGGGAGAGACCATCATTCCTTATGATGGACTCGACACAGATGAAGCTCTCAGAAGTATCCATAAGGGAAAGCCCAGTGCCGATGGGGTGCGAGATGCTCCCTCAGAGCTCTTACCCTGCAGTACTCATCGATGGGCTTCAGCCTCTTCACAGCTACATCTCGGACATGGCTCCTCCGGAACAGGATCTTGCCTGAGGAGGGAACAGAGGAAAAAGGGGGGTTAGAGGCATTGTCTGCTACGTGGGATAACACAACAGCACCATGCAGATGGGTCAGCAAACAGGGTTTCATTCTTGGCTCTAATCATGGCTATTGGCAGTGCTGGTGGCTGAGCTCTACAACCTTGTTATGCTCCCAACAGAGGAGTCCTGGTACTGGAGAGGTTCACAGAGCAGCAGCTTTGTGTGACTGCAGCCCTCCATTGTTATGAGACAGACAGTGCAGCGCATTGGGAAGAGGTGTGAGCAGCAGATCTACTCCTGCCCTTGGAGCAAACTGCACACAAACACACTGCAAGGGCAAGCAGGGGACGGATGCTGGACAACAGCTATAAAAGGGGCATGCATGGCACCTCTTGCAGCTGGATGTTGCTGGTCTTAAGTTTGCACAGGAGATGCAGCACATGGCCAACAACTGCCACAGGCACAGCAGTTCTGTGAAACCTCAGCAACTGCCACCAAAATCCTGTTTGTGTAAGCTGCTGAAAGGGGACCACAGTGACTCACAGGGCAGTGGGAGGCTTTTGATTTCATCCTGCAGATAGCACAAATTTGGCTCCTTTTTAGTGATGGCATTTTCCTGGAATGGATTGATACTACGTTATAACTCCCTTCTACTTTGAGGCTGTTCTGGAACATCCATGCTGCCAGTGCAAGGAGCATGGCTGGGGTGGGATGCAGGCTCCATCTGCACCCCATGCCTGCCCGCTCAGCTGCCTCCCACTGCGGATGCTCCTGCTCTTGCAGGCAGACAAACCACACAGCCAGCTCATGAGCAAATACAAGGCTGTTGGTGGCAGAGCCCTTATAAATCTACAGAGGGAAACCAAATAACAGAAGGAAAATAAACAAATTCTCCTTTTTTGAAAGGAAAAAACCCCAATAACCTCAGTGTCCTTACTGGGTGACATTTCTGCAAGCAGTTAAGATTAAACAAGCGGCTGGGTTTTGTGTGAAACTGATTGTAACAAAGTTTATCAAAATAATCTAGAAGCTGAATTTCCCCCCACACAAGGATGTCATAGAGTTGGTATTTTTGGGGCTAGAAGGGATTATAACTTCATATCCTTTTTTGGTGGTTTTCTGCCCTTTTGTGCTGTATTTCTTTCAATGTAATAAGACAGGAATAAATTATATGTTCTCTTGTGGTGGAAGAAAACAGTATCTGCCGGCATTATTTGGTCCATAAAATGTCTGCGTAAGAAAACCACTGACATATATACCGCTCTCTGCTCCAAACTTCTTCTGCCAACAGGCAAATACAATACTCATCCATAGATCACAGGATAAGAAAACGGACTAGGAAATTAAATCAGAAGCAAAATCTGAATATGTGGCTTTGATTTTGTTGTGATTACATGAGCTGAGAGGTTAATGAAATGGCAGCCTTTAACAGTCCAGTAGCAGAGGCTCTAAACCCTTCCAGAGACTCTGTCCCTTTTGGTTGCCTTTTCCTCCATAGCTGCTAATTTGGAAGGTGATAAAACCTTTTGTTTCGGACAGAAGAAAGTAGTTTATCTCCATTCCCAGTTCTGGCAGCAAAACCGTTTGTCCTGTGAGGTAAAGCCATTTCCTAGTGCCATAAATTTATCTCCCTGGGTTCCCTGTGGTTATCCCATTACAAAGCTGGTGATGAGCCATCCCTGTAGGATGTGGTGCCACACGGCCACAGAAAACAGGGGAAATCTTCAGTAACTGTCTGAGATGTTCTGAGCTTGAGCAATTAGGTCAAAAGCTGATGGAGAAGGGAAGCAGCATTCCCATCGCCTTGCACTGGCCCACTTTGGACACACCAAACCATTGCTGCTTTCCTGCTTCTCTGTCTGGTAAATGCACTTCCAAAACATTTCTTCTTATTTCTGATAGCCTCCAGGATCACACTGCACTTGTAACTGCAGATCTGCAGTAAGCTGCTTTTTAGGGGGCAAGAGGTGTGAGAGTAGCTGTAGAGAAAAGACTTCCTGAGGCACTTTCTCAGTGCTCCAGATATGTCGGTGAGGGAGATCTTGGTATTTCTTTGCAACTTTTACAAATATACTGCAAAGAGAAAGCAGCATTTTGGAAATGTTGTCACTCTTTGGCTTTCCTGTTTTCAGTTCAAGCCATGAGTCGAAAGTTGAACCGGTGACCATATAAAAACATAAAGGAACCAAAGACTTAAACACATTAAAGATCTCCTGTAAACGCAATTCAGCTTTCCTAAAACTAATAATAAAGAATGTTGTATTAAACACAACATACAAAAAGACCCCAGGATATGATGAGTCTTATTTCAGTCCTTACATGGAGATGGAAGGTATCAGGATGAATGTGCTGTTAGGATGAAGCAAAGCCCTGAAGTTGCTTTCATTTTTATCACTTCAGAAAAAGGGAGATTTTCCCTCTGCTACTGGAAGCTGGAAATGGCCTGATGAGGGCTGTGGGACAGATCTGTAGCTGCCCAATCCATTATGGCATTCAAAACTGAGATCTGGAGAAGGCTGAGTAGTTTAGAGCACTGAGGAGTAGCAGTCAGCAGAGAAAAAAGCAAGAACCAAAACAGGGACACTCCGCAAGCACATCCAGTTCTAGTGGACAGTAAGGAAGGACTCCCTCACAAAGGCAGAGCAGTCTCATTGCCAGGAGTACTGAAGCACCTCTAAGGAAGAACATCTTCCCAAATGTTCAGCTTCTCCCCTTTTCTGGGAAGATCGACTATGCTGACAGAAGCTTGGCCAAAACCATCACGACTGACCAGCAGGAACCACTGCAGATCCAGTACGAGTTATTACTGCTTTCTTAGTTTCCCTCATTTCTACTGGTCTTCCCTCTGAATGGAGGGGAGATCCCATGGGACTGAAAAATAAGGTAACCCAAGAGACACGTTGTTCTCCAAGTGGGTGCACTGGACACAGACCCCATTAACAGAAAGCTTTGCCTAATGAGGCTCTCTCCTCAATTTTACTGCAGCTTTTTAAAGCCTCTTCAGGCACTACACTCCTGTTTTACAGAAGGACAGGCAGCTTTCTAACCATGCTGCAGCCCAGCTAGGAAGTGATCGGGAAGTCTGTGTGGGACTCAGATGGGAAGCTGTAGGCTACGTGGGATGATGCTGCCTAGTGCAAAATATTTCATTCACCGATGTGCCAGGCTTAGACCAGGCCAAGAGCAGTCTGGCATATGTTAGGAGGGACTCCGAGGACGGCAGCACTTGGAAGGCAAGACGTGGGAAAGACACAGGGCTCCAGCCCTGCTGCTAATGCAGGATAACAGTATTTATTTTTATCCTTTTTTCTTTAAAGAAAATATTATTCCTAGGAAATTAATCTGGATAAGAGGCAAAGTATCAGGCTTAGCATTGTAGGGGACATCTTAAATCATCCCTTCATCTCTCTGTGTGTATATACATATATATATATATATATATGTAGTCTTTAATTCTGCGACCACACACCTCTTCTCCCACAAGACTTCAGTTTCCTCAGATACACAGCGGGTGCACAAAGTAGGAAGAATAAAGCTATGCAGGAGACTGTCTGTAGGGCAGCTGCTGATTCTTTAAGGCATCCTCTGCATATCACTTTATTCCTAATACAACCTCATACTTAAGAGCAGCACAGATTTTAACAAGTGCATGGACCATAGGAGCAAACAGGTTTAAAAACATCCCAACATGCCTGGTCCTCCCTTTAGCCTATAGGTCTGTACTGAACACACCAGAAAGGGTCCATAGCCTAATGCTTTGTAATGGTCAAGGACCATTCATGCAGGGAAGAAACTCGGCTCCTGGTGGGCTTCACGGCACTGTGAAACACAGTCTGGAGGAAAGACATGACCAGGCAGAGTAGCACTACAAGTCCCCAGTGGGATGCCCAGCAGGACAATCCAGTCTTTCCTCTTCAAGGGAGGGGACATACCCTATACAGACCCTACGGTCACAGCATATGCCAGCCATCACAGCAGCTACTGCTATACATGGGTGATTTGTAAGTTCTAAGAAAGCCTCTAAAGCAAATCTCATAATTATACCTTTCACTGCCAAGGAGAGCTGTTGCATATCTAGGGCGCAGGAACTTCTAGAAATGTCTTCGTGATATTCCCACAAATGTGCCAGTGGTTCAGCCCCAGGCTGGCAGCTTTGCTGCTCTCTGAAGCCAGGCAGTGAATGGGAGCTATGGCAGGGGCAAGAGGGAGGCAGCAAAATTCCTGGTTATGTCCTTTCCAAATTTGCCAGAGAACAGATCCACCTCTTGCTCTTACTCTCTGATTGCTGAGCTTGAGTTTCCTCTCAAGGGATGTCTGAGTGATGGATTGGTCTAAGGACACCAGCTGCTTCATGCAAGGAGCATCTGTTGAAGGTTAGGAAGAGCCCAAACCCACTGTCAAAAATACATGTTCACATTTAATCCTCAAGTACCATCACCACGCTTCAGAAGGCAGTACGCAAAGCAACCCATATGATAAATATTCAACAGCAGCAGCTTGAAGAGTAATGGATGTATTAAAAGTACTGTAATGTCTCATCTGATTTATGTTTAAAAGAGACATGTGCTGCCTCTGACTGCAGAAGCTCCAGCTGCCGAGGCTCTGTCAGTCAGCTGTCTCTTAGGAACAAGGAAAGCTCCTGTTTCTGCCTCTTCACGTTGCTCTTGTTACTGGGCAATGGGTAATTTTTACGTGAGAACCTCAGAGGTACCAGGTCTAAGTTGCCAATGAATGTGTTCAACCCAAGATAACTTCTTAGATACTGATTCTGCTTATAAGAGGAGGTCAGACTCTTTGCAGTTACACTGGGGTTGCATTGGTAAAAGGAGTAAAGAATTTATCCCTCATGCAGTTACAGGTTCTCCTCTTGGGTTATGCAGCATCCTCCAGTGTAACTAAAACCATTTTGCTGCTCAAGTATTTTTATAAAGGCTTCTCCCCCTTATGCACAGCTGTTACTATTTTCATACACTGAAGAAGCACAGATGTGTAATCAGATATGACACAAA